TCTCTCTCTCTCTCTCTCTCATGCGTCTCAAAACGACGTTTAGAGTTGACGGGGTGAAAGTTAGAGTATTATGCTGGAGAGATGTGTCTCCTCTCTCTCTCTCGCTCTCTCTCTCAAGCGGAAAAGGGGAAAGGAGGGAGAAGAGAGAGAAAGAAAGAGGAGAAAAGAGTAAATGGGGGAAGTAAGAGACTAGAGAGGGAGACAGAGAGACAGACAGATAGACAGACAGAGACAAAAACAAGAGGGATCGAAGCAGTAACAGACCATCACAGACAACACAGACCAACACAGACCATCACTGACCATCACAGACAACACAGACCAACACAGACCATGACAGACCATCACAGACAACACAGACCAACACAGACCATCACAGACCATCACAGACAACACAGACCAACACAGACCATCACAGACCATCACAGACAACACAGACCAACACAGACCATCACAGACCATCACAGACCATCACAGACCATCATAGACCAACACAGACCATCACAGACCATCACAGACCATCACAAGACAACACAGACCAACACAGACCGCCACAGACAATCACAGACCATCACAGACAACACAGACCATCACAGACCATCACAGACAACACAGACCATCACAGACCAACACAGACCATCACAGACCATCACAGATCATCACAGACCAACACAGACCATCACAGATCATCACAGATCATCACAGACCAACACAGACCAACACAGATCATCACAGACCAACACAGACCAACACAGACCAACACAGACCGAAACAGGAACACAATCATAACCAAACAGCAGTCCCCTTGATAATTATATAATAATCGTAATTATCATCGTTACGTCTCTCTCATCAATAATTTTCTCAACTCTGATAATTCGTCAACTTTTGGTTAAATTATCCGGACGATTATTATAACTTAACCGAAGCCTGGACGTAAGTCCCTCTTGTCCTCACCCACTATTAACACTCAAGTAATAATAATAATAATAATAAATAATAATAATAATAATAATAATAATAATAATAATAATAATAATAATAATAATAATAATAATAATAATAATAATAATAAAATAATAATAACAATAATAATAATTGTAAATCTAGGTAATATCTCTGAATTTAATCCCTCGAGAGATAGAGAGATAGATAGATAGATAGAGATAGATAGATAGATAGATAGAGAGAGAGAGAGAGAGAGAGAGAGAGAGAGAGAGAGAGAGAGAGAGAGAGAGAGAGAGAGAGAGAGAGAGAGAGAGAGAGAGAATGCTTTCTCTCCCCTTCTCGCACCTAGAAGCCAGGTGCCAGGTCAGGTGACAGGTCAGGTGCCAGATCAGGTGGCAGGTCAGGTACCAGGTGCCATGGGGAGCACCTCAACCCCCTAATTATTGTATGAGGGGTCCACGCCCCCTATTTCTGGTCACTAAGAATAACTTGTCGGTCGTTCAAACTTGTTAACTATGTCTGGAGACGCCCGTGTCTTACGTGTCCTGCTGTGTCTTATGTGTCCTGCCGTGTCTTACGTGTCCTGCTGTGTCTTATGTGTCCTGCCGTGTCTTACGTGTCCTGCTGTGTCTTACGTGTCATGCTGTGTCTTACATGTCCTGCTGTGTCTTACGTGTCCTGCTGTGTCTTACGTGTCATGCTGTGTTTACATGCCCGCTGTGTCTTATGGTCTGCCGTGTCTTACGTGTCCTGCTGTGTCTTACGTGTCATGTTGCTTACATGCTGCTGTGTCTTTACGTGTCCTGCTGTGTCTTACGTGTCCTGCTGTGCTTACGTGTCTTTACACAGCATATTAGTAACCCAGATCCCCCCTCCCTCCTTAATTATGGGAGGGGGATCCCCTCCCTCTCCCTCCCTCAGCCACTCACACACCCTGTGTGTGTGTGTGTTTATCTATGTGGGGTGTACAGAAATATATATATATATATATATATATATATATATATATATATATTTATATTTATATATATATATATATATTATATATAATATATATATAACTGTATACACACAGGGGCTCCACACTGGTGCTGGAGCCTCGAGGACTGGCCTCGTTCAGGTTTCTCTTCACTTAATTTTTGATCAGCTTAGAGACAAAATCCGTGTTCGTCCTGGAAAGTAAAACTTCCAAAACATTCTCTGAGAGAGGTGAAAAAAATACTCATTTGTTTACACTGGGAATAAAAATAGCTGTGTGTCCCCCTAGGCTTCGGTCTGTTTAATTAACAGAGTAAACAACAGTGTCCCTGATGTATACTCCCTTCTCCCTATCCTTCCTATTCTCCCTTTCAATCCCTTTGTCTTCCTTCCCTTCCTATCTACGTTCTTCCTTCAGTTTCCGCCTCTACCTAATCATTCGCTTCCTGTCACCCTCATCAGCGTCCAAATTACCTTAAATTCACTCCCTGAAATGGCCCAAATCTCAAGAAATATTTCGTAATTAAGTTCCAAGAAAGAGCGTCAAATGCTGGGAACTTTTCTCATTGGAAGATCTTAAAACTTCAGTGAGAACTCTCGTTTCTCACAGTACAGAAGATGAGTGAGATAGAAAGTAGAGTGAAATTAAGTAGGGAACTCTGGGAGGGTAAGCTCTTTCACTCTCAAGAGACAGTTTGAGGCAGTGAAAGTTCTCTAGTGCTTAAAGATCTTTGAGGTGTGGAACTTTAAGTTTGAGATTTTTCCGAAATGGAGCTTTTTAAACACGTGAGAAAGTTAGGATACTGGCTTTATCTAGAGTCAGTATGGCTGACACAGACTTCACCTACACTCACCTCTGTATGACTGACACAGACTTCACCTACCCTCACCTGTGTATGACTGACACAGACTTCACCTACACTCACCTGTGTATGACTGACACAGATTTCACCTACACTCACCTGTGTATGACTGACACAGATTTCACCTACACTCACCAGTGTATGACTGACACAACTTCTCCTACACTCAACCAGTGTATGACTGACACAGACTTCACCTACACTCACCTGTGTATGACTGACACAGATTTCACCTACACTCACCAGTGTATGACTGACACAGACTTCACCTACACTCACCTGTGTATGACTGACACAGACTTCACCTACACTCACCAGTGTATGACTGACACAGACTTCACCTACACTCACCTGTGTATGACTGACACAGACTTCACCTACACTCACCTGTGTAGACTGAACAGACTTCACCTTACACTCACCTGTGTATGACTGACACAGACTTCACCTACACTCACCTGTGTAATACTGACACAGACTTCACCTACACTCACCTGTGTATGACTGACACAGACTTTCACCTACACTCACCAGTGTATGACTGACACAGACTTCACCTACACTCACCTGTGTATGACTGACACAGACTTCACCTACACTCACCTGTGTATGACTGACACAGACTTCACCTACACTCACCTGTGTATAACTGACACAGACTTCACCTACACTCACCTGTGTATGACTGACACAGACTTCACCTACACTCACCTGTGTATGACTGACACAGACTTCACCTACACTCACCTGTGTATGACTGACAGACTTCACCTACACTCACCTGTGTATGACTGACACAGACTTCACCTACACTCACCTGTGTATGACTGACACAGACTTCACCTACACTCACCTGTGTATGACTGATACAGACTTCACCTACACTCACCTGTGTATGACCGACACAGACTTCACCTACACTCACCTGTGTATGACTGATACAGACTTCACCTACACTCACCTGTGTATGACTGACACAGACTTCACCTACACTCACCTGTGTATGACTTACACAGACTTCACCTACACTCACCTGTGTATGACTTACACAGACTTCACCTACACTCACCTGTGCATGACTGACACAGACTTCACCTGCACTCACCTGTGTATGACTGACACAGACTTCACCTACACTCACCAGTGTATGACTGACGGACTTCACCTACACTCACCTTTGTATGACTGATACAGACTTCACCTACACTCACCTGTGTATGACTGACACAGACTTCACCTACACTCACCTCAGTATGATTGACACAGACTTCACCTACACTCGCCAGTGTATGACTGACAGACTTCACCTACACTCACCTGTATGACTGACACAGACTTCACTTACACTCACCTGTGTATGACTGACACAGACTTCACCTACACTCACCAGTGTATGACTGACACAGACTTCTTCACCTACACTCACCTGTGTATGACTAACACAGACTTCACGTACACTCACCTGTGTATGACTTACACAGACTTCACCTACACTCACCAGTGCATGACTGACACAGACTTCACCTACACTCACCTGTGTATGACTGACACAGGCTTCACCTACACTCACCAGTGTATGACTGACACAGACTTCACCTACACTCACCTGTGTATGACTTACACAGACTTCACCTACACTCACCTGTGTATGACTGACACAGGCTTCACCTACACTCACCTGTGTATGACTGACACAGACTTCACCTACACTCACCAGTGTATGACTGACACAGACTTCACCTACACTCACCTGTGTATGACTGACACAGACTTCACCTACACTCACCTGTGTATGACTGACACAGACTTCACCTACACTCACCAGTGTATGACTGACACAGACTTCACCTACACTCACCAGTGTATGACTGACACAGACTTCACCTACACTCACCTGTGTATGACTGACACAGACTTCACCTACACTCACCAGTGTATGACTGACACAGACTTCACCTACACTCACCTGTGTATGACTGACACAGACTTCACCTACACTCACCTGTGTAACACTACGTCACCTGGAAATGTGTATCGTTATGTACTCTCTCTGTCAGCAATCCTACAGGAATCTCTGCCAGGAATCCTACAGGAGTCTCTGTCAAGGATCCTACAGGAGTCTTTACCAGCCTTCTGTACAATGGTATCTACAAATTATAGAGAGAATTGTTATGTAGTCTGTTATCGCTCTCTTCCCTGCTTTCCAGGTTTGAGTTGGTAGTGAAACTGATGCAGGATCATGCAATCCATCAACCCCAGCAACTCTGCCTGCTGGGAGGACAGGCTCTCCTAGTCAACCCGAGTGGATAGTCTCCCAGCCAAGGCTCTGGAGTGGATAGTTCAGTGGATAGTCGTTGCAGCCTTCGAAGAACGCCTCTTCATGTAGCAGTGGATAGTTCGGACTTACTGTGTCAGAGGCACTTTGAGTAGTACTCTGAGGGAGTGTGTACTCGCCCAGGGACGAGTGCGTTGAGTGAGGCTTAGTATTAGTGGGTGCGTGCGTGTTATGAAGCCCGCTTGAGCATCATGTTTGAGGGGAGGCAGAGTGTGTGCTGGAGTGTACATGTGGCCAAGTGACGTGTGGTGACGCAGGTGGTGACGCAGGTGGTGAAGCGTGGTGACGCCGGTGGGGACGGAGGTGGTGACGCCTGGTAACGGAGGCAGTGACAGAGGTGGTGACGCAAGGGGTGACGGACGCAGCGACGGAGGCAGTGACGGAGGCAGTGACGGAGGCGGTGACGGAGGTGGTTAAGGAGGTGGTGACGGAGGTGGTGACGAGTGGTGACGGAGACGGTGACGCAGGTGGGGACTCCACCAGCTGGACACTCAATGGACCGTCTTCAACTTGTCACAGACTGAGGTAAGTATTCAATAATATAATTTATTGTTCAACATGTACTTTGTGTTCATGTACGTGCCGGTGTTTGTGTACGTGTCTGTGTTTATGTACGTGCCTGTGTTTGTGTACGTGCCTGTGTTTGTGTACGTGCCGGTGTTTGTGTACGTACCGGTCTTTGTGTACGTGCCGGTGTTTGTGTACGTACCGGTCTTTGTGTACGTGCCGGTGTTTGTGTAAAGTACCGGTCTTTGTGTACTG